TCTAAGAATCCTTCCTTTTTTTTTAGTTCCTCCATCATTGTACAGATCAACTCCCAAATTCTGTCCGCCTCCCCCTTACTACTTCCTTGCATCACCCTCTCTCCTCCTTCCACTATCACCCTCTCTCTTGCATCAGAACCTCCTGAATGGGAAGCTGGAATATCTGTTACAGGCATAGCAGACAAGTCAGTACCTAAAAAAGAATTGATACCCATACCAGGTAGGATGAGGGTAGGACTAGAATCACTGGAATTGAGTTGCTGACAGGCGAGAAATGGTTTTAAGGCCTTTCCCCTTTTTGGACAAAGTTGTGAAGTAGAGACATAGTGAAAGAATCACTTCCTGACGACCTACCCACTTGGAAATCCTTTCTCTGTGTTTTCGACACTGGAATACCCACAGCCATCCTCACGGCCGATTCTTGTCCCTCTCCACCAACATCCTGTAATTCATTAGACTCAGGGTCAGCTCCCTCGACGAAGGGAAGAAGAGTTTTCACAGCTTTAGGACCATTTTCTTCGTCATTTCTAGTCTTCCCGCCACCAGCCTCTTCAATCTCTTCCTCTAAAAACAATAGCTCTGTATGCAAACTTTCTATTTCAAGTAAATCATTATTGCTTTTCGGAGACAGGCTTCCCAAACTTAAAGTTTCGTCACTGTTGTTTTGTTCACTCAACCAATCTTTTAACCCTGTTCTGTTCAAATCACTAGGCTTCAGGTATCTCGGGTTGCGCCTATCTGGTGAGAGATGGTTCTCCAGGTTGGATGGGACCCACTGTAGAGAGCCTCGAGCCTGAGAGTCTTGAGATTTTGCGCCTGAACTATTCGACCGAAAGGAGGGATTCGGGGTAGAAGAAGATAGATGCTTAATCTCGTCTATCAGCTCATCCCTCCTCCCAGTCACGTGCTTACTTAAAGGGTCCCTTGGCCCATCTGTCTTGTAATGGGYMTTGGGCTCAAAACTTGTAATATAAGAACCCAACTTTAAAACCTTTACTTGAGTTGCCTTCTCCGGCCCACCAGAAAAGGGATCCACTCGACTGGGCCCATTTTCTAAGTCTTTTCCTCCCACATGACCTCTTAACAAATCACGCTCCCCTGTTTTAATGGTCGAACCAGCAACCCTCCCTGTCTGATGTTGCTGGTTCAGCCCTCTCCCTTTAGACACTGGTATATTTTTGTCTATTTCCCCTGACACCACCTGCGCAAAAGATCTGCCATTTGTCATAGCCTTTTCTTGCTTTCTACAGGTTTGACCTTCCATCTGCCCCAAGTTTTTTGGCTTCCCAGAATTTGTTGGCCCATTTTAGTGAAACATTCCTTCCCATTTGAATTAGCCAATCTCACAAGTCCACGTAATGCTTCTTCTTCTTCCTTCTCCCCTCCTACCATACGAGCCTCCTTCCACAGCCCTGCTGCAATGGTGGATGCTAGCCACACAGAGACAAAACTCCCCTCTGTTCGTACCTCTACTGAATAAAGATCACCCAGAAATGGCAAGCCTATTACACGCCCCACCACACCATCTTCGACGAATAAATCCTTGGAGTTGGATGTTGGATTCCGTTTAAAGACTGTGAATGATCCGAAGTCAGCTTGAACATGGATAGCTGATATTTCCAATTCATTCTCTGCTGGATCTAGGAGGGCTTTACAGTTATTGAAGGGGGTTACTATGAAGACACTCTTCAGCTTCAACCTGGTTGCCWRTAAGTCAGCTACCYTCCTCCAATCATTAACCTTTTCCTTGGCTTGTATCACAAACTTACTATCCCACTCTTCTCTCTCTAGACCTCCCACCCTTCTGCATTGGCCTTTTGTTTTTGCCATGACCACTGGCCCTTGTTCTTCCCTGCTGTTGCTGAGATATGCATTCTCCTCCCTTATGGGGGCTTTTTTATCATTTGCTACTCTTTGAGCTAAAAACTCTTTGAGCAACCAGTCAACTTCCCGCCATCCTTGGCTCTGTTTTCCTGTTGGTAGACACACCAGTTGCCTTCGTCCCTTTCCAAAGAATTCAGCCAAAGCTATGAAGAAGCCTTTTCTATTCCTCTTACATTCAACAACATATCTTCTCCCTTCTAATGTACTAAAATCCTGCCAGTTTATCTGCTTACCTTTTGAACAGGCTCCAGCTATGAACTCTCTTAGCCACTCGATCACTTCTAATCCTTCNACAGGCTCCAGCTATGAACTCTCTTAGCCACTCGATCACTTCTAATCCTTCCAGTAATATTGTACCCTTTTTTGCTTCCCTTACCTTCAGGCTTACCTTCCCCTTGATTCTCATCTCTTCGAACAGGAAATTTTTTGCTTCTATCTTCAAGGATCTCCTCCACTGACCTGCTTGCACGAACTCCATTACACTTCTGTCACCTTTTCTTCTTCTTCTTCTTCCACCTTTTCTTTTCTTCTTTTCCTAGAACTAAAATAGGGGTTCAGCTCCTATATTTTTTGAGTTTTCTTTCCTTTCTTCTTTTTCTTCTCATAAATATGTTGATTTTTTAGACTTAAACATGAAGTTAATAATTTTCTTATGAAAATTATGGATAGTTATTAAAGAAAGTTGGTTATGGAACCTAGGGAACTACACTAGGATATCTGATTTTTACTTAAAAAAATCCATCACCCAGGCGACGCCTAGGTGCCTTGAAAACTATGCAAACAGGCAAGTTGTGTCTTTATATAAGAAAAGTATGCACTCATTGTCAAGATTTAACAAAAGAAAGTAATATGGAGAAAGGTACATATCTGACTTTCTAAGTGGGACTTACCACCCACTACTGCTTCAATAGAACTCATTTTAGAAAACCAAATGGTTTAACTAAGTTGCCTGAGTGCCAGTGATCAAAAAAAAAAAAAAGTTGCCCGAGTTCCCCCCTAAAGTTACATCCAGCTGTAACTTGGAGTTATATACCTACCTACATACCTGTACCTGTACTTAAAATACATATCTACCTATTTACATGCATACATACATTTTAGTTAATTATACAACTTTTGACTTGCTCCCAAACTTTGCAGCTTTTCAATTTTCACTCTCCAGCAGTGTGAACCTGCTCTATGCTCCCAATCCACTCTAAAATCTGTTGACTTAGATACAAAGTCTACTGCTAAATAAGCTCTCTATGACATGCCATCCTCTAATAACTGTTATTTATTGCTCTCCCTAAAAATTATCTTTCATAATCATCAGAATCCATTTAGGATAGTAAAGAAATCAATTACCTTCGCTGTTGGAGATTCAGGACAATTGGAGGAGATTGCTATTTCTTTAATGGGTCATGGGAAAACTTGCACATAATTTTACCTCTCTCTTTAGGAAAAGATAGAAATCCATCTGGAAATAGAACTGGATTATCTACATATCTTCCAGATATTGGAGGGACACCATAGTTGTCAAGGCATTGCCTAGGCGACTAGGCACCCTTGGCTGGGCGCCTCGCCCAAATGCCTTGACTTTTAGCAACTAGGCGCTTGCCTAGGCAATTAAGCGCCCACCTAGGCGACAAAAATGACAAGGCGGGCGCCTTTTGTAATATCACTTATATTGCTGTATCTTATTAATGTATGTGTTGATACATTTTATTATGTGCTATATATATCAATTATATTTTGTTTTAATGTTTTACTATTGAAATTTAAAAGATCAAAGGGTTTTGAGAAGAGAAAAAGAAAGAAAGAAAGAAAGAAAAGAAAAGAAAGGGGAAAGAAACAATAGAATAATAAAGTTCTTTTTTTCTATTCTCTCTCTAATTAAATA